ACGACTGCGTAAGCGTGATACGCGTATGTACACATATATACGTTCCTCGCGAAGAAATATGGATATATACGTACATACATGCAACACATACGTACAAGTACACATGCGCAGACGCTGCGCGCGAGTGCATGACTGTACGTGTGCGCGATAGAATGTATTTGTAATACGAGAGAGAGAGCGAATACATAGGAAGCTTGATTTTGCAGGAACAGTCGACGGAGGAGAAACCGACTCCGACGAAAAATAAACGAAGCGGCACCAAGAGGCTGTCCACTCTCGAAAGGACCGCTCAGGAGGGCGAGGCAATCTTAAAGGTGCGTCTCGCGACGGCTCGTGCGATTATTAAAATAGGGAAAAACTTTTCACATCGGATCAAATCAGCTTATCATACGTCCCAAAAATCTTCGCCGAGGTCCCGCTGGTCAAGGTCCTCGCCTCTTCCCCCTCCACCCCTCATTCTCGGTTATTTCCCTCCGTTTTAGCCTTCTCCGTCGTCGACTTCGCCTGCTGCCTACGCGAGCGTTGTACGTCGCCAGGAGTGGGGGATGTTGATTGGCTGGGGTGGGGACAAGAGGGAAATAAGCGCCCTCGGTGAGGCACGAGGAACCAATCGTTGCGTAGGCGCCAATTATAAATTGCTATCTATTGATGTTAAGAATTAACAAACGTTAATTCCAATTAATTACAATTTGAGCTGCGATAAAGATAGAGTGCATTAGAATTGTATCTTGCGATTCACGACTTGTAACACTGTGATTTTTTCGAGGCAAAACCATTTGAAGTATCTTGAATTTTATTTTATTTTTTTTTGCTATAGATATCCCTGGCCGTTTGTTTTAAACACTTGCTATTTACAGGGCATGAACAAATCCGCAGTCGGTGAAGTAGAAGGCAGGAGACGCACTCGCAGTTCAGCCAGAGGCCTAACTTCGACAACGCCAGTGCCATCGCCACCCAAGAAGGAAAAAAGGGAACCGTCGACGCGGGGTGGTGGTGGTGGTCGTGGACGTGGACGACCCAAGAGGCAGGAAAAAAACAATGAGAACAACACAGACGATGAAACATCCAACAACAAAAGTGAAAAACACACGGAAGAGGAATCTACAAAGATGGAAGTAGACGAGGAGAAAGAGGAGAAAGAGGAAAGTAAGACGATACAGAACGAAGACAAAAACGCGGAGGGCGCGGACAGTAAAGACAGTAAAGATGTTGAGAAAGTGACGGATGCCAATTCCAAGGACGAAAAAGTGACGGAGGAGTCGGAGAATGTAGTGGACGAAGCTAAAAGTACTGCTCCCAGTGAAGAAAAGAAGCAGGAGGAAATGAAGGACAGCTCGGATTCGAGTCAAGATGCAACCGACACAGCAGCAGAAGCGCCGCCTTTATCCTCGTCAGAGTCCCAAAATCCCTCCAACACTGTTACTACTGAGGAAAATAAGGAATAACCTCCCTTCGCCTGTTTTACCACTACTTTTATGTAAGTATCTTCACAATCTTCTTTGAGATCATGGATTCGTAAATGTAATTTAGTGTAATACCTTAAATTATGTGAAATTATGCTTAACGTAGCAGTCTATAAGCGATATTAACATGAGATTTATTTTACTATAGGAGGTACCAAGGCGGCGCACATATTGGGGTCACACAAATCCAGTCCCCCCTCGTCTATTTTAACTAATTAACACCTTCTTGTCGATCGTTGTTTCAACCAGCGCAAACTTTTTTGTTAGGATACAGTTTTTATTTTATCATTATCCTTATGATAACGTGACTTTCCAGAAAGATATAACAAAAATATAAAATGTGCTACGCTAATATGAATTAGCGTTCAATGAGACTCACTTTTTCCTCTGCCTATGTTGTATACTATATTATGTTTTTGTAGAAAAAGATTATAATCTAACATGATTGGAATATTATATAATATATTCTTAAAAGATTATAATATAGGAAGAGATAACTAAATCGTTATTCTAACGTTAATTCAAATTGCCGATGTAGTTTAATCCTGGAACCTATTAGATAGTTCTTTCAACTATTTATAGACATTTATATCTTTTGAATCTTCATGTTGTTCTATTCCACATTATTACTAGTGCTACCTTCTAGTATCAAACTCTGTAAGGCTAATCTAGCCAGACTAATTTTTGTTTAACTTTAATTAACAACGTTCTTTTATGGTGTTTTGTGTAGCATGTATATTATATTTATATCTTAATTTTATTGTTTTTGTCGAGTAATATAAAAATCTTGTCATTGCGCTGGTTAATTAGCGATAAGCAACGCGAGGTGTAGAGCATACGTTGTTCATGTACAATGATAATATTATTGTAAAATATATTTAATATGGACTTATATAGAGAGAAGTTGTTTTCAAATCAGAGCTGACATCCGGGTTCTATAGTGTAATGCCTACGATTCAGATCTGATGTGGAAGTAGCTAAAGATTAATTCGTACATAGCAAATTACTGTAATACCTTTATCGTATATAAATAGTGACTGAATGAAGTGGAATATATGAGAACTATGGTGAAATGATTTCTCTTTTTCATGAATTAAACGAAAATAAAATTTCTGAGAAATGCGCGTTATAGCATTATCTATGTTTTCCTCCCTTGCATAAGTGTACTAATAATTTTTAATTCATTTTCTAATCCTTACTTTTATCGACAGACGGACTAACATTTCAGCTGATCACATGTTATATTTTTTTTTCTTTAAATAATTGAAAGAATCTTGATTACAGAGTTGAAATTTCTCACTGTTGTTTCATTCGCTTGAAATCATTACTTTTTATTGCGAGATCTTTCAGAGCATCCCTGTTCTTATTAGTCCAATATTAAATATGTTAATATTATTGTGTATTTGAACTGTGTAGCGAATGTACAGATAGATTATACAATTGATGCACTTATATTTAGAGGAAATCGCACACACCCGAGACACCAATAATACGCGAGTTTAATACAGTATGTAAATGTGTGCAATGAAGAAAGGGATTCTCGTAGAAATGCGGGGATCTTGCAATGAAAATTAACAATATGTATTACGCGATGAAACTCGAAGGATTTTATTGGCCTTTAATGCCAAATAGGTTTGCCTATGTATCAAGTATATAACAAGCACGAGAGTATAAATATTTCCTTGTAAGTTGCACTTCCGAAGGATTTATCGAAACTGTATGTTACAAAGGAACATAGATCTTATCATTCCATTTTACTTTTTCTTTTATCAGATCAATGATATATCCACCTGAGATTTTCGATTGTAAATAGTGAAGATCAAGTGTAATATACGTGTAAATAGTTTAACATTAAGCTTCGTGTATCACACTGGACCTTTTCTTGATTACCTTGTGAAATCTCAGTTCTTCTAGAGTGCCTCTAGCGTTAGCACGTTGTATAATATATGAGCGTAGAATTCCGGCGATTAAAATCAAAATCAAGCCCCGTAATAGCGAGTTTACTACCGCTTTTAAAATATACCGTAGAGATAATTTTTTCGCATGTATCTTATATGGAGGAGAATATTGTACGGTTCGATATTAGAGTTTCTATAAATATATATGCATATATAAGAGTATCCAGTTCCGTTGACGATCAATCATTGAATCACGCTTGTCCATATCACTTTTTTGTTTTAATACTTCATGATGTGTAACTTAAAAAGTTTACAGTACGTACCACTGTTTATATTGTATACATCACTAATATGTATCACATATCTGACAGTGATATATATGTATATAAATTTTATATTCATTTTATCACATGCGCTTCTGTTTCAGTAGGTATTAATTATCGTGACAATTGCGCTTTAAAAAAAACTTCGATAATCTACAGCTTCCTTTTGTCACATAGTATACCGAAGATTGTGCGAGTCTCGAAATTCTCTTAGAAAGTTCAAATAATACATCAACGTGCTTGCGTTTACGTATGTCGCGTCACATCGATTTATTCATTAGTCACAATCATGAAGACATGTGAATTCTTTGTATAATTCAAACATGATTTATTTAATAATATTCGGTTACGACAATAATTTGGATCCGCAAAATCCTAAGCCTTTAAAAGATGTTTTTAGGTTTTGACCTATTTAAAATATAAGCAAACACAATTACCCCATCTAAAAATTGAGAACGCAACAAATAAAATAGATTTGATTGATCTTTCTGCATTATTTATTCGAAAAAGATTTAGCAAAAATTGTATAAAGGTTAATATTAAGTAAAAATTGTATAAATGTTGAAGAACTTCAGTAAACTTAATAATATTAATGAATTACAAGATCTTAACTTATGTTATATATGTATTGATTCTTAAATATTCTAAATGTAAGTTAAGCCTAGATATTTTTTATGAAATAATTAAGTTTGTTATGTGAAAAAGAATGATATAATAATCCCAATAGAGATAGATATCCAATTCACTCCATTGAAAATAATATTCGTTTTATTTACGATATTTGTCGGTATTTAAAAAATACGGAGTAATTATAATTAATAATGATATTTTCCAATGATTCGAAATACCGATAAACATCGCTAAATACGGAATATTTCTGCAAGAACAAGCAGAATAGAAATGTTCTCATTATAGTTTATTGAAGGCACTATAATTTTTTTAAAGAAGAAACTTATATTAATTACATTATCGATTAAAGATAATGTTGAAACTGATTGAAATTAATCTTGCATACGTTATTTCTTTCTTTTAAATTATATCTATAAAAGTTTCAAGTATCTTAGTTTAAATTTTTTAAACATTGATACAATAGATCAGCTGCATCATAACATCTTTCTCACGTTAATACGTGGCATGTTAAATTAGTTTATATATACAGCTTATAAAGACTACATCTTAAACATTTTCTACTTTGTATAATATGTGGAGCTTTATACACGGTATAGGAAACTCTGGTAAGTCATAGCGAACAATCTTGTCGATTTTTAACGAGAATTGCAAATAGTTAATACATTCTGCTCCATATAGCTGTTTTGTGTCTAAATTTTCTATGTAGTTAATCTTAATTATGATTCATTATTTTTAATTTTTATTATGATATTCTTCGTATCTTATAATTACCATCAGTCTTCATAATCTTATTTTATTCACGGGGGGAACGTCGATATGTTATAACTAATATTATTTTATATAATACTATTATGTTATATAAAGACTTTTTAATACAGTTAACTGCAATAGAGATTCAATCTTAATTATCAATTTTCAGAATATATGATATCTAATGTGAACCTTTTGGAACGGTACATTGTCCGTTAGGGGATGGTTCTATGATCGGAGCTAGACCTGGATTTGGAGCAATGCATTGAGCAACATAAGAAGGTTGCGGTCCCAAGGTCGGATTCCACTGTTCTTGCATGTGTTGCGATGGTGATGGTACAGCATGATATTGCACCGACTGTGGATACATCACTGGCTGCGAGTACATCATTGGTTGGCCGTTTATTGATGAATGACCTGGCGGATAAGCCTCAGTCGTTGAATAGAAATGCTGCGGATACGACGGAGGTACAGCTCCGTTCTCAGTTGCGTCGACGTGCTGAGGTGGTAAGTACGGTATGGGTATGTAGCTACCATTTCCCAGATAGTACGAAGGATTCCCTGAATTGCTTTCGTTCGTGTAGTGTGGTGGAAGTTCATGATAAGGAATTATTTGGTTCGATGTTGTATACTGCGGTGGTGCATAACCGTTTGTCGGACCAGCTACCACGCTAGGTGCTATCTGATGCGACATCGGATCCCAATGATGCTGCTGCGGTTGCAGCATATGCATATCGTGCCTTCGCGCATTGTACGGATTCACAGAACCACTCGACATCGTCGCGCCATATTGATGACTCGAGTATTGCGTATGCGATGATCCGCGAGCATTTTGCTGACGATTCCGCATCTTATTGCCTATAAGAGAAAGTAACATAAAAAAATGTATTGTTCTCTCAAGTTTTACAGAGAGTTCTGTAAAACTAAAATGAACAATCAAGTCTGTTTTTACAAAAAGAAATGTGTGTATAATGAGAAAATATATAATTAAGTTTTCATATTTATATTCTCTGACTTACCCTTCAATTCCATTTATATTTATAACGTTTATACATACATTGGTATAAAGGATGTATATGCAATCAAATAATTAATAAAATAATTTAATAAAATAATTATTGTGAAATATTATGAAACAGAAATTATGATTAGAAATCTTAAGGATCAATTTCATCAAGATGTCAAGTGCAATTTTTTAGTGCAATTTAATGTATTCATTTATAGTCCTTTTAAAACATAAAATATAATCTAATAATAAAAAAAAATTGTTCTTAGTCAAAATCGCAAGTCTGTCTAGAAAAGATCGAAGAGAGTGGCAAATTCAAAACAATAGACAAAAAAAAATAGAAGACTGAGCAGATTATTAAATTAAATTGATAATTAACAAAAAAAAATAATGAAACAAACAAACGCTGATAATTAAAATTAAAACAATAACATTCAAATATATAAAAATAAAATCACATATATACAATAAATAACATACAATCTTAGAAACTGATTCAAAAGCAACTAATAATAATACGCAATGTATCTCTCATCACAAAGGACAATAATCATCAAACATTAATCTTTAAATAGATAGCCATAACATCTCAGATATAGTTCTCTTAAAAAATCTTGTCCTCAAAAAGGAAAATAAAATGTTGCCAAGATGCTTAGAAGTCTTAAAAGAAACCATTATTATTTCTACATTTCTTTCTCATAAAGATATAGCTGATATAAATTAACATAACAAATTAGAAAAAAATATATAATGAGGCTCGAAAGAATCTATCAGTGAAAAATGTAAAAAAGCCTATCAGAGCCTGTATATGAATACATCAGCTATGCAGATGCACAAAAATTCTTTATTTTGTGAACGTAACAAAACAAATAAAATATACGTTTCAACCCTTCAATTCGGGTCCTTATCAATACAATTAAAATATAAATCGAAATTACATAATTAACGCAAATTCCAAGTTGATTATTTTCAACAAATTAGTTCGTTCTTCTTTATCCAAATGCCAAATTAGCTATGAATAGCCTAATGATTATCAAAATTATTACATTATACAATAATAATATAAAACTTACATAAAGTAAAACCGAAGTTATATGCATTGCGTCACTACTAGAATCACATCAAATTGTCAGATTTGCTGTGATAGCCATTCAAAAGAAATACGAAACGAAAATTAGAGAATTATTAAAATCATTTGTCTGAATTTTCTATTATATCCACTCACATGTAAGCGTTTTCTCGCGGCTTCAAAGGACTTGTGGTGTCGACAGTCAGAGATGCAATGAGAGTCAAAATAATAAAGTCAAGTAGTTATTGAAATAAAAATAAAACTAAGAACAAAAGAGGGTAATATCAACATCACAATTCAGTAAACAAATTCATGTACAGTGGGTCCAAAGAATACGTATCATTCTGTAAATTCAAACTGTTTCTGTTGCTTTATATGGATCGCTTCCGATATCAATCTTCTATTAAGTACTTTTTCTTCGTCTAATATCTTGACATTTTCTCAATCAAAATTATGCTGATGACTGATTCTGTGTTCTGTTATTACAGAATGCTGTGTAGTGTTCCAATTTATGTGATTTTTATGTTCATTTATGCGTGTCTTCAAACATGTACCTGTTTGGCCCACATATGCTTCACAATCTTGACAATCAATCTTATATACAACAACATTCTGTAATAACAGAACATAGAATCAGTCATGATTTTGATTGGGAAAATGTCAAGATTTTAGACGAAGAAAAAGTACTTAAATAAAAGATTGATTTCGGAAGCGATCTATATAAAGCAACAGAAATAGAGTTTGAATTTACAGAATGATACGTATTCTTTGGATCCACTGTACATGAATTTGTTTACTGAATTGTGATGTTGATATTACCCTCTTTTGTTCTTAGTTTTATTTTTATTTCAATAACTATTCTACTTGACTTTATTATTTTGACTCTCATTGCATCTCTGACTGTCGACACCACAAGTCCTTTGAAGCCGCGAGAAAACGCTTACATGTGAGTGGATATAATAGAAAATTCAGACAAATGATTTTAATAATTCTCTAATTTTCGTTTCGTATTTCTTTTGAATGGCTATCACAGCAAATCTGACAATTTGATGTGATTCTAGTAGTGACGCAATGCATATGACTTCGGTTTTACTTTATGTAAGTTTTATATTATTATTGTATAATGTAATAATTTTGATAATCATTAGGCTATTCATTACATAGCTAATTTGGCATTTGGATAAAGAAGAACGAACTAATTTGTTGAGAATAATCAACTTAGAATTTGCGTTAATTATGTAATTTTGATTTATATTTTAATTGTATTGATAAGGACCCGAATTGAAGAGTTGAAACGTATATTTTATTACATTCACACGAAAAATAAAAAATTTGTGCATCCGAATAGCTGATGTAGGTTTTGATGGGCCTTTTTACATTTTTTCAATAACAAATTGGTAAAAAATATAAAAAAATTTTTTGGGGTGTAAATATCTCATCTACCAATTTGCTCATGAAAAATTTTTAGATTACATTTGCTTACTTAAAGGTTAACGGTAATGTCAAAATATAAATAAATATATTATCAACGGTTTTTTTTTTTAAAGGTAGAAGATACATCACTGATATTTATACATGCTATTAATTATAAGTTTCTTTTACCATTCTTGTTCTTTGAATCTAGTTGAGTTTGGATCTTTTCTAGTAAGTTATAATTGTATCTTAATTACTAAAATTTTAAGCGTTTATTGTTTCATTTGCTCATTTAATTTATATGTTATTAATTACTAATTAATACAATTATTTTAATATTGTTTTTTACTATCTTTTGTTCTACATTTGTTCGTGCCTCTTTTTTCTCTAGATGTAACATTTCGATTTCAAGTTTGCTTTGCTTTTTGCACACAATTCATGTTCATGTGCAAAGCGTCGGGAATTTCATCACAAGTACTTGGTGCCTCATTGTGCATTAACGAACAATTTTGCATGTCATTAATAAGACGATATACTTTCTCTTGAATACGTAGGTTGCTGGAAAAGTTTCTGCAAACAATATGAAAAAAACCATGTAAAATTCGGTAAATGGCTTCATTGTTTTTCGAAGTATTCGCCTTTAAGATCGATACATTTTTGCATACGCTCGAACCAATTTTCGAAGCATTTTTTCCACTCTAAGGCTGTAACCTCAGAAATCAGTGTACGAAATGTTTCAACAGCTGCTTCAGGCCACTCAAATCGCTCACCATGCATCTTATTTTTAATGTTTGGGAACAAAAAGAAGTCATTAGGTGAATACGGACAATGAGTCATCAATTCGACATTATTGGATAAAAAAATCAACGGTTTAACGTGCTGTGACAGCTAGCGTTGTCATGATGAAGGATGATGCGACGATTTCAGTTTGTTCTACGCAATTCATTTATGACTTCTGGCAAACAAATTGTTGTACCAATCAGTATTTACAGTCCTTCGATTCTCTAAAGCCACAGTTGTCACATGTCCGATATAACCGAAGAAACAAGCAATCATTTGCTTGGCAGCACTGCGTGAACGAACAATTTTTGTTGGTTTCGGTTCATTTTGAAATACCCAAACAGTGGATTGTTGTTTACTTTCGGGCTCATACGAATAGATCCATGTTTCGTCCCCAATAACGATGTTATAGACTAAATTTGACCGACTTCGGTTGAATTTCTTGGCATTTCTTTGCTCTATTTAACACGAGTCTGTTTTTGAGCTTTGATCAAATTGTGTGGGATCCAACGACTGCAACTTTCCGTACATTCAAGTGATCATGCAAAATCGTATGTATTGCTTTCATGTCAATGCCTAAGGATGCCTGAATCTCGCGGTATGTTATATGTCGGTCTCGCTCAATCATTTCACGCATAGCATCAACATTAGTGGCAACAACAGCCGTGGATGGACGACCTTCACGGAATTCATCACTAAGAAAGATACGTCCACGCTGGAATTCAGCAAACCAATTATAAACAGTCCTATTGGATGGTGCTTCATCCCCAAAAGCCAAATGAAGTCGATCGATGCATTGTTTCGGAGTTAGATTCCATTTTGTAATCGTAAAAGATTTTGCAATCGTAAAAAATCATTGCTCGAAAATTTTTACGCGAAATTTTCATTTTCTTACAAAATAACTTCTTTTAAAATACTATGCAAACAAAAACTAGTTGGTTTGGGTACAAACTGACAATTGAATTATAGGTTAAAAACGTCTAATTTTACGGATATGATAGTAGCAGAATGTTGGCGCCACTGGAAGAACTAGATTGCACAAACTTTTCCAGCAGCTTACGTATATTGCATATACGGAATATCTATTAAAAAGTTGTATAAGACTTTGTTTCAAATTTCATTATTAATCTTTTATATGAATTTTTATTATTAAATTACTGTTCATATGAGTATTTGATGGAGCATCCAAAGATTGTCATGTCTGGATATCATAGTTTCTCCTTTTTTTTAATCTTTGAACTCTACTTCATGTTGTAAGAGATGAATAAAAGTGAGTATTTCTTCGATTTTTTTTTATATAATGTTATTTTATATGCTGTAAATTTATTTTCTATAGTATTGAAGTATTTAATTTTACTATTATTACCTTTAACAGTTCCAGTTTGCTTTCCTTTCTGTTGAATGGGATGTGAGGAATCTTTTCCGCTTAAATTTCTTGGTCCTTGTTTCGACTGATTTGTACTTTGCACACTATTCGTGTTCACATGTGAAGCATTGGGAATCTCAGCACTGGCATTTGATCCCTCATTTAACGAACTATTTTGCATGTCGTTAACAAGGCGATCTACTTCCTCCCGCATATATTGCATGTATGGACCATCTATTTAAAAATTGTATACAAGCTTTTGTTTCAAGTTTCATCAATGATTTTTTAATATGAATTTTGTAGGAATATTTAATGACAAATTACTGTTTATAGCATTTGATGGTGTGCCCAAAGATTGCATGCCTTGATGATTCGGTCCATATATTATCGGTCCGTAATAAGTTGGATTTAAAGTACGGAAAGTGTCCTGTGTACAAAGAATTATATAATTGTATAGAATTGAACAATTGATGATAAATTATATAATTATAATTACTTTTCTATTCACTACATACCTCCAAGTGCAGCAGATGTAAATTGTAAAAGACATTCGATGTCAATGAATCTAAAAGAAAGGTAAAATATAAATCATTTTTTCATGGAATAATATTAATATTAGAATGTTAATAAATACATACGATCTATTTGAGGATTGTGTTCTCCAGTTATCGAAAAATTTCCTGGTATGTATGGATAATAGGGATATGCATTGCCGTTATCTGGAGGAACGTAAGATACATTTGGGTTGCCATATATATTTGTTTGCGAATTATCTGCAATTAACAAAGTAGATCAGTATATATTTTGATAAATTTTTAAGAAAAATTGGAACTTGCATATCAAATTGCCGGTAAATTAATTTAATTTGTATGAAATTTATTTGCTGAAGTATTTTTGTATATACAATCTGACAAGCTGTTTTAGCGCCAGCTAAAACTGATATTAAATATATTAAGACTATATTCCAAAACGTCCTCTCTGAGGATGATTTTATTCTATGTATTGTAGTATACATATATATAGATACTATATAAAAATATAATTATAATAAATTTAGCTATTGGGAATTAGTGCTGTACTATGTGCGCGATAAATTTAAAATTATTAAATTGTATCTTACATATTTAATTATTAATTTATGTACATATTTCGGCTAACTTTTTATTATAATTATATTTTTTATATCAGAAAAAATATTAAGATTATCATTCGTTAGGTACTATATATTTCGAGTAAAATTGTGCTCGGAGGACATAATTTTTTAAGTTATAATATATATGACCTAATATGTTATTTATTTAGAAATAATTACCATTGTAAGATGAAGAATAATTCTCATTTAATATTTTTGGTTTCAAACTTGATTTTTGAAGATTAAGAGATTTTTCAATCTTCCTTGCAGTATTATTCACTCTTTTAAATGCTGCATGAGGTTTTTTATGTTCTTCTGTTATTTCTTGTATTACACTGTTTGATCCTGTAGACTGTGAATTGTCGAATGTAGTTGTCAAACTGTTAGCCTCTTCCTATAAACAAAAAAGATGCGTTTTTATACTTTAAGAATTTCAAATACAATAGTAAAATTTTACAATATACTTACATTTGTCGTATAAATAGAATTATCTTCTACAGAATGATTTTTTAATGTTTGGCTTTGATTTATTTTACTAAAAATAAAATTACAATTTTAAAGAATCCAGTTTATTATAAAAATGCGAAACAATACTATCTTTTATACGATAGAATGCAGCTAATATATTCTAAGATACATACTGAAGTTCGCTGTGATGTTCATCAAAGTCACTTTTAGCAACATTGATATTAGCATCAACGTCATTATCATCACTGTTATTTATTAATACATTTTTATTTGGCTTTTCATTTGTTATGATTATAGTATCTTTTCTCTTTCGTGAGAAAGAATTACATGGTTTTTTCCATCGTCGATCTAATTAAACACAAAATAAAGATTTGTTATGTATAAATATGTACAAATGACAATAATGGTTTAATAATTTAATAAACTAACTTGAATCTATAGTAACTGAATGGTTTCTATTAAGTGGTACCCAATTTTTTGGCCTATTTTTTCTTACTAAAGGTAATGGCTTCAAAGCATCGTATGGAACAAATTTTTTTTCTCCTAAGTCTTTAATAAAAACCAGAACTGGCTCTTTCTCTGTATTCATTTCCTGTATATAACCGTGAAGCCAAAGAGGCCCTTGCTTCAATTTTTGTTGCTCAATTTTATTGTTAGTCTCGCTAGTACTACATTCTGGTAAATTAACTCGTACATTCTTGTTGTTATTTCTATCACATTGTTGTAGATCGTTTATGCTAATTTCTATCAGACATTTGCCGCCGACTTGAAGCTCATTACTGTTGTATCTGTTCCAGCCTGCAGATTTTACCTCTATACATACAAATAATTTTAGTTTTAAATATTTAACTTTTTCCTTCAAAAAAGAAAGTAAAAATAAAATTTCTATATCACACCTCGTTTCAATTCGTGCCATATGTCTAACTCTATATTACGATAATAATCAGGAGCCAGCGCTTTTGCGACTTTATAAGGAATAGGTGCTCCTTTCCAGTCAGATTGCGCTTCGTCCGTATCACTATGTTCATTTTTTACTTTTTTGTATAAATCTTCAATCAATTGCCTGTAGAAATATATCTCCTTTTAAAAACAATCTACATTTTTAAATATAATTTAAAAACTTAATGCTTAAATCGTAATTTGTTATAAATGCAATATCATCGAAATCTGATTAAATAACTTACTCCCTAATATCAAGATTTCCCTTCTGGAAAAATCTGTCATGTCTAAGTGCAGGAGTTCGGTTATGTAGCATTCTATCCGCAACAGTTTTTATGTTAGGTATTTGATACATATACCTATATACAACTTCATAAACAATAGCTACCAACAAAAAAGAAAAAATTACAAAGAATTTATGAAGAATTTATGCCATAGATGTGACACGCGAACTGTTCCAAATTTACTGCCAGCACTAAAAATGCTACAATTTATGTTATGTGCACTATAGATTTTCAGTACAGTTAATTTTGGAACACATCTGCGATATGCATCAATAAGACTCCGTTTTCATAATATGTAATTACTTAAAAATAAAGGTTGCCAAGAGATTCAACAAAATTCATTTATGATAATCTTTAATTTAAAGATTACCATAAATTCTCTCTCTCTCTCTCTCTCATTTATGGTAACCTTTAATCTTTAGGTAACTGTATATTGTAAAAATGGGATTAAGAAGTATCTACATACATTGGCAGTATGCAGCTGATTGTACAAAAGCCATCGGGTAAACAGGCTCATATTGTTTCGGCTCTGTGTGACAAAGCAATATAACACCTTTTTTAAAGCCGTTATTGGTAACGTTTTCGCATATCTGCTTCTCTCCAACGAATATAATTATATCTCTTTTATATAACAAAGACATAGCATGAATTTCACTTGAGCCTCCCCACTCCGTAAAACATTGCATTTCATTCAGATAATAATCAAATGGCGTTGATACAGACTACAAAAAAAAAATGATCAACATACCGAGCATCTCTTGATATAAAACTAGATAATCGCATAGAGATACTTACATCAATGAACAAGTGTCTCTTCTTCTTCATAAATTCTATACATTCTTTTCTTACTCTTAGATGATAATGTTGCGTGTGATACACTTGTTCGCTGATTGCTCTAAACAAACAGGTCGGGTCTCTGGGAGTAGGTTTCCTAAAATAACCCTCCTTTGCCAGCCATTGATCCACTGGCTCCTGTGTTCGCTTCGACATCTCTCTAATTGACATTATTAGTCAATATATTGCTATAGATATATACATCCAGCTACAAAATATCTTGTCTCAACATTACCTGTTTTTATTCTTTTGCAATATTATATAGATAATAAATTTAAAAAAATATTCTTTTTCTTTGATATGCTTTATCCACAGAGTATCCCAATTTAAGCGGCTATTTTTTATTTTCTAAAAAGAACGATATAAACCGTAAAAAAAAAAAGTTACAACAAATACACTAACAAATATACATAACTTGAATACGATTCTAACCAAATTCGTCTATTTATATTTTAATGATAAACTTTAAATTAATTATTAATGTTGATCAAATAATATTAACAATATTTAAGAATATTAATTAATATAGGCTTCTGTAGTTTATCAATTTTATATTTATATATTAAATTATACTATATATATATATATGTATATAAAATATAATTTAATATAAAAATATAAAAATAAGAAATATAT